CGGTATACTCTGTTATGTCCATGGTACTGCTCATGTCTATAGGCGACGGTTACCACTTTCCATCAGGTGGGCCGTCAGCTTGTTTGCTATTCTAAGTTGTATAAAAAAAAGGTAAAAGGTAAAAGGTAATATTGTTATGAAATTGCTTTGCTTAATACATATGAAAATCGTTTATAATATTTATAGGCGTCTTAACAGTAAAAATTAAAGAAGAAACCGCAACGTCTGTGTCCCATATAGTCAAATTTCTTTATAAACTCGTGTACGCAATCCAACGAGACGCTAATTCGACCAATTTGCGTCACACGCGAGACAAAAGGAACTACGTAGGAGAGTGGAGAAGCAAATTAGCATGCAAATGTAAGAAAACGGCTATTAGGGAGAGCCAGAATCGTCGACACACGCAGCGCCGCGCGCGTATCGATCATACAATCCCTCACACACTTACATACTACTGTCTCTTTTTAACTTCCCCACAACAGATCGCTATAAACATAAACATTTTCGTACTGAAAAGCCTTCTATGTACACTAAAAGCAATTAATATTGTACTCTAATACAATAAAGTCGACGGTTGATTTTGCGCTGTGCGAAGTGAACGGTCTTTGAGATGTCGGTGCCATGAAGAAGGTTTGTTATGCCAGCAAATTCTGTTCCTATGTTTAAAGGAATAAAGATCTATTTAAAAGTCGAGTTAAGTGAAAATGGATCGTATAGGGATATTTCAGGGGTCATTATCGATAAATGGAGCAATGCAGTTGTTGATAAGAGCAAATCACATAGCACCTACATATAATTAAGAATACGTATAGGTATGTTACGGCTGAAAAACGTTGAGGGTTGTAAACATCGTGATGAGTTCGGATTTTACATGTACATATATCTTTAAATATAAAATAAATTAATAGATTTTAAATAAAAAAAGCAATATATATATTGAATTAAAAAAGCAATATACATATCATTGATACATGTTGTAATACAATTATATACAATATAAATAAATATATTTGAGTTTCTTGTCAGTGGAATTGATCTAAATTTTAAATTTGGTGGATGAGATGTGAATATATATATTAGAAATGACTTTAAAGTTTTATCAATATTATAAATGTAAAAGTGAGTTCATTTGTCTTAAAGTCTTCATGGGGCGGGGGGGGGGGGGGAGGAAGGGATTTATTAGTAATGTGGTCTAACAGCTACATTACTAGCAATATATCTTATCAGGTTCTCCTGGAAACCTTTGTGGTTAATTATTATTGAATTTGTCGCGATGGGTCAACTGATCTTTTTCATCCTCATCTATCATTCTTCATTCCACCAGTATATACCGATAGTGCAGGTGGGGTCATCATTGCATTTTATCCACTAAAAAAAAAAGAATGCCTTGAAAACTCTACTAATCATCAAGAAATTTGGTACTATATGGGATAGAAAAGGAGGTAAATTTTTATCCTGGTCATTGAATATACATATACCGTTCACGGAGACGATGTTGCTAGTGAAAGCTAGTAAAAAAATACATTATTCTATCCATTATACTTACAGATAAGAAATATTGCAACTGATTGAAATTTGCTTGCCTGTTTTTGACCCAGTTTGGAAAAGAGTCTAAAAACAGTCTATTTAACTCAGCATGATATTGACTCAAAATCCATAAATTTTGAATATAAGATATATTCTATAGAGTCAGTCTTTTATTTTAATATACGAGACAGGTTGTCTCAGTATCAACTTTGAAACAAGTGCATTTTGCTCTGCAATTTAAAAAATATGATTTTGTTACAAAAACAGAATATATGTATATATTTTAGTGGAGTCGATTCTGAGGAGCTATTTCTCTAAATTCATCTCTTACCCTAATATTAAAATTTGATAATTTAGTTAAGTTATATAGATATTGATTAAATAAGGTAAATTTTATGGACTATATACGAGTATATTCTTTTATTTTATGTGTTTCGGTTTGATGGGTGGAATATGATAGTGAAATTACAGAATGCAGAGGCATCTTCTTAGTACTCAAGAATGGCAACGCACGGGGGGTATCATGGACGAAAAAGTAAACTCTGTTATGTCCATGGTACATGTCTGTAAGTGATAGTTACCACTTTTTCTCGGGTAGACTGTCATCTTGTCTGCCGTTATAAGTGGTATGAAAAGTAATAGAGATAGGTTTAGAGAAATGACGTCTCAGAATCGACCCAATTGTTACTCGGGATGATCCTATATAACGAAATCTGTTCAGGCATTAAGTTATAATGGAATGTGAAAGTTATCTATTATTAAATATATTTATTTTAATTTGTGCTTAAAAAGTCTTCGGTTATATTGTATTTATCCCTATGAAACTTCCTTTCCTTTTCCGTAGATGTCGTAAAAGGTGACTAAGGGAACTTAATGGTGGAGAGATGTGCAGCAGCGTCTTTTTTAAACATCACCAAAAGCTAACTGCCGTTGCCAACCGGCCTGCCAGTCACGTGGAGGCCTATGCTCATCAGTGGACAGTTACCGGCGGATATGGCACTGTGGGGGGAGAAGGGTCGTTAGTGATGGGGACGTGAATCTCTATTGCTAGCAATATATCCTATCAGGTGGACCTCCACATGATTCCCCCTGGAAACCATCGAGATTAATTATTGTCAAGTTTGTCACGATGGGCCAACTGACCTGACTTCATCCTCATCTATCATCCCTCACTGGTGCCCCGTCAGTGTATACCGATAGCTTAGGTAAGGTTACCATACCATTATCATCTATTTATTTTATGGGTGAAAATGGAATGGTAACTCCGCCTGCTCTAACGGGATACGCTGGCGGAGCACCAGTGAAGGATGATTGATGAGAATGAAAATAGGCCAGTTAGCCCATCATGATGAATTCATCAGGAATTAACCATGATAGTTTCCAGGGGGAACCGCGAGGAGGTCGACCTGGTTGGGTATATTGCTAGCAATGGGAATCTTACTCTCCATTACTAACAATCCCTTGCCCCCCATTATCATCTATTAAAGAAGAAAAAAAAAAGATATGGCGCTGTGAAAATTATTAAATACTTACCTACAAGATAAAAGTATCAATACGCGAAGTTTTAATATGTAAATCGCATTTGCATTCATTTGCCTTTCAATTATATTGCAATATCATTTCTGTATTTAATAATCATTATCACTACGTTGATTATGGTATAAATTAATTATAAAATTTATTATTTACTAGCTTTACCCGCGGATCTGTCTGCGGGATCAGGATATGTTTACTGACCAGGATAAAAAGTAGCCTATATTCTTCTGCATCTCGTATAGTGCGTGTATACTAAATTTCATAGCGATTGGTTAAGCAGTTAAGGCGCTATAAGGTAACAAACAAACTCACTTTCATATTTATAATATAACCAGCTGACTCGGCAAACGTTGTTTTACCATATACATTATTTCAAGAACTATACATGAAAATTTATCCTACTACAATTATTACATTCGATTGCCATCTTGCAACCCTATTGCGGAATATAAAAATCGCGATTAAAAAACAGGGTTTGATCGTAAAAGCGTGGAAATTTGATTGTATGTATTTTTCAATAAATCATATTTAAATAAAAATAAAAAAAATTGTCAAAAAAAAAAAAAAAAATTTAGAGGTGGGTCACCCTTATCATGATGGGTATAAAAAATAGATGTTGGCCGATTCTCAGACCAACCGAATATGCACACAAAATTTTAAAAATCGGTGAAGCCGTTTTGAAGGAGTTTGGTAACAAACACCGTGACACGAGAATTTTATATATATGATATTATTAGTAATATATTTATGAAGATATTATTCCAGCAGTGAGATTATAATCCTTCTAATAGTATAAACGTAAAAATTGGTAAAAATGTTTGGATGTTTGCATGTTTTTTTGGTGCCTTGTTGCTTGCGAATACAGGCTTTAACCTATTTCAGACACTAGCTCCTCACAGCAGTTCTGCGTATTAATTTAATTAATATTTTTTTCTTTGTAACCAAACACTACATGTATATAACCTAAGTTGTTTCTGAGAAGATATAATATAAAAAATAAAATAAATAATACGGAAAACTGCTGTAAGGAGTTGGTTCTTTAAAAAACTCGCATATATACTCTCTGATATGTCTTTGCGAAGCTTTGCTTGCACCCCAGGATGCAAGCAAAGCGTTGGACGCACCAGACGATTTTAGAGTGGGCATGGTCAACCCGACCCTTCTCTAAATATGCCTAAGCATATTCTCCTCAAGAATGGGAGCGTTCCATGAAAGTCACATTTATAGTATACTAGCAGCTCGTCCCGGCTTCGCACGGTGGCACATTTTTACATTTTAAAAAGTGGTTATTGTGACATAACGATAATAGTTGGACATATAGTATCGCGAAGTTTTTTGTAGTTATTGATATTTTCTTCGATATTTTAGAACATACTTTTGTTCTATCACCAGTAGTTTCTGTAGCGCATGTGACGAAAGATATTTTATAGCTTTTTTTATACCTTGTGTTACGTTACTAAAGTTTTACTAAGGATCCCTAATCTTTTCGAGCAATAAATATAGCCTATGTTATTTAGGGTGAGTGTAGTTTTCTAGTGGTGAAAGAATTTTTGAAATCGGCAAAGCAGTTTTTGAGTTTATTCATTACAACATATATACATACAAAAATACAAATCTTTCCTCTTTATAATATAAGTATAGATTCTGGAATGTTCACGGTGTTGTACATCTCTATCAGTGACGATCACCACTTCCCATTTCATATCCCCATAATCCCCTCAAAAATATTTCTCTCTGTTTCTATTACATTTAGTTTACTTTTTACAGGATAATTAATTTGCACATTATACCTTAGAATTCTACAAAATTCTACTATCAAGCCATTTAACGACATCTATAGGAAAATATTATCAAAATTAGATAAACCTAACCAAAGAGCATGCGCAAATATTTAACACTCTTCGAACAATAATGAAATTTATTGCTCTGGTAGTAAAGTCGAATATGTGTTAGCCAACTCGCGCATGCGCTGTAACATTGATTTTGTCAATTGACAGATACAAAAGTGCTTCTCGTGTTTTGTGTTAGAAAATATTATAATAAATATTGAGTGATGCGGTAGAAATGAAAGTTGAAGGTAAATAAACAGTAATCTTATATTGTTGCATATAATATTGTTGTGACTGTAAAATTGTGTCAAGACATTTAAATATTTAGTTTTGGTTACCTGAACGGCAGAGAATAGAGGTTATAATATTCTTAATACACGAATCATATTTAGCACTGACAGTATGTTTTAGGTATTTTCTGAACATTTAATGAACAATAATGTGTAAATAAGTAAGGGAAAGAGGATATACATGTTTATGTATTTTGGAATAGTAACATAAGGTTGCTAACCTTGACGAAAAAAAAAATGTAATTGATCTGCATAGATAAAGAATGATCTTTGGTATTAGAATGTAGTATAAATTATAGTCTTAGCGAGCAACCTCGTTATCTACTTAGTACAGACAATATTTATTTATTAATTTATTTACACATTTTATTCTATTTGTATTCACGAGTATGCTCTAATTTGCTCTGAATTTTCTATATATGTAGGTAGGTATTTACAAAAGTTAGTATATCTACCTAGTATCCCTCATCATTGCTGGTCTTTTGCGTTACCACAGGTAAATAAGAGTATGTTTTACGGGTAATTATTTTATTCCATGTTTGTGTCGGCGGCCTCTGGGATAAACACTGACACAAGTTCATAGTATAAACAATGCTCAAAGAGATACTTAATGGTGTCATGGAATACGTCAAGAATAATTATTTATTCACTTTTACAGTTTTTTAAATCCTTTTAGGAATTACAATTTTAGAATATTCACCTCAATTATAAAACTTTAATGTAGCCAAAGATTAAAAGGAATAGAGGAATTCGTGACCCGTGTCGAGCTCCATTGTAATCGCATGGGATTAGGGTGTTATGGGACTGTAATACGGTGGGTTGGGGTTTCGGGTCGCGAGCCCTCTGACTGCACTGCTTTGGGGTTCCAATAGAAAGAGTCTAATATAACACACAGGTTAGAAGATCGACACGCAATTTTTTTTTATTTCAATGTAATGTTCAGCATTCTAATAGGGATTTTTTGTTATTTATTATAGTATATACTTCGTTGTAAAATGGAGATACGTGTTATATTAAATCAAATCAAAACAAACTTTATTTAAGTACTTATACAAAATGAGCTTTTAAATGTAAATATTTTTCTGATTGTGCTGTTGATTCGGAAAGTTAATTAATGAGAAAAAACTACAAGAAGCCTAACAGTTATTCCTTTACATATAGTCAATATATATGCATATATGAAGTAAAGTATATATAGCTAAGATATATAGTATTGTATAGCCTATCTGATGGAACGATAGCTATTGCCTATAGAATGAACGACAGTTATCACTGTTGTAGCCCTGGCACCCATGATGCATTTCCATTCTTGAAAACTGTGGTGTTATGCCTCTGTATCATGTAATTTCACTCTCATATCCCTTTAAAAACGAGAACATTACAGATACAGGCAGAAATATATCACGAGTATACTACAGCTGTTTAATAAACGTCAAATATTCGTCATCCGCACGGTCCGTGTGTCCGCCCGCTTATGCCGGACACCTCGACATATGCACCGCGCACTTGTCTCCACTGGCGAATAATTTGTACTCCATTATGCTTTTATTTTATACAGTGTGCTCTGTAATAAAGTGGGGCCCGATTAAAGACCAGTGTCGTCTTTCGTCAGGCCAACTGTTAGGGGTGCTGAATTATGCATTCGATGCATTGAATCTACGTGATAATAGATTTTTAAGGGTCGACTCGGCACCTGTTTTGTTTATGGTCATTTTGTAAAAAAATCTACATGAAATTAATAATTGATATATATATATATATATATATATATATATATATATATATATATATATATATATATATATATATATATATATATATATATATATATATATATATATATATATATTCTTTATACAGTAACAACAATAAGTTTATAACAATGTTAGCAAAGGCTATATTATATACATATACACATATATACATATATATACACACATACACACATATGTTAAATACAACATATAAATATCAAATAAAGAGAACACAATGATGACAGTCTTCTAATCATTTTTTTTATATTTAAACAAAATTGGAAAGATAGAATGATTTTAATCTTTTTTTGAAGGAACTGCTAGACGGGCTATTCTGAATACTCACGGGAAGTTTATTCCACAGCTGTACAGCTCGATATGCAATTATTTGTGTAGTTTTGATTTTCCTATAAGTAATATAGGAAAATCAAAGCTACACTGGAGTAAATAAATACAGATCAGGATTACAAACTAAGCCACTAACAGGTTTTCACAAATAGTAACAGTATAGATTAAAGGCACTGCACGCGAAGCAAAAACAGGAATTAATAACAAAAAAAGATTTGAAAAAAGAGTTTTTCATATAATAAATATTATACAATAACAAAAGTTTATAAAGGCAGTCTATGGGGGTGGTCTCTGTTCAGATAACAACATACAACCCACCTGACCATTTCACCAGAGGGAGACTTTGTACAAAAGTCGATTGCTTGAGTACCTCTGTCCCATTCGTGTTTCTACCGTGAAGCAGTTGTGTTTGCATGGCTGTGTTTCGGTTTGAAGGGTGGGACATGGCGTGAATTTACTGGGTACAGAGGAATAACACCTGAGTCCTCAGGTACGGCAACGCATGAGGGGTATCATGGGTAAAACAGTATACTCTGTTTTGGCCATGGTACTGCTCATGTCTATAGGCGACGGTTGCCACTTTCCATCAGGTGGGTCGTCAGCTTGGTTGCCATTCTAAGTTGTGTAAAAAAAAAAAAAAACTTGATGATAAAACAATATCGGTAGTTGATAAAGAAACATGTAAAAAGATAAGTAAATAGGTTTTTATTTAGTTAAATTTAACTTTTGTTAATTTAGACGGTTTATTCTTTGTAATGGACAGTAATACTATCGTTTACTATTTAAATAGCCATAAACAAATGAGGAATACTTATTGGTTTGTTTTCTATCGCAAAATAACTTTTTGCTAGAAAGGACTAGACTTATATGTACTATTTTTTTATTTTATTTATATGAAATCTAATTATATCAAACACATTTACAATTCAACAATACAACAAACAAAACATTTTATAAGAAAGCTAATTTAAACCAGGCAAATTTTCTTCAAACATTTAAATTGACGTATTTTTGATTTGATGACAAATGCTCGGGGCGGTACTCGTGAAATGAGGTGTGAATATAACATCCCGGGGGGTCGAATGGGCCCCATGACGTCCCCCGTACCCCAGCTGTCCGATGCCCCCATACATGTACCCCTTTGCCAACAATAGACCTCAATTATAGACAGGTATGGCACAATCAGTTTGTCTTTCACTTAATGTCTCTTTATTTGGCAATTGTATGACAAATTGATGACACGTGTCTATGTATTTTGTTGCTCTTTATACATTTGTGTTTGAGCTGAGTCCACTGTCACGTTATAATATTCTTGTTCTAAAATAAATAGTCTTTGAAGGCGTTAGCATCTCTATGCTGTTTGTAGTCTTTGATTCGAAAAAAAAAACAGCTATTACAAAATACAAAAATATGTTTCTTTTTTTTAAGTGAAAACTTCTTTAGGCACGTTAGATATTGTTTTAAGATGGAAAAAAAACTCTTGAACTCGCGACATTGTTACCGTTACCGTAACCGACACCTCTGGCGATTCAAAAATACATATATATGTTCAAGTATTCACTTCTGTTGGCACTTCCGAGTGCCGTTGTTTTAAACGCATTAATAATGATGAGACAATTTATAAACGCATTAGATTTACAAGTACGTTTTACTTCGCGAAAAAATTGCAACTTAGATCGAAGCTTTACCGATAACTAATGATCGAATATATTGGAATTTAGTCCTTGGAATCGAATGTTGTAGGTTTCTCTTAGCAAGAAGTCATAAGATTGACATAAGATAAACCTTGATCACCTAAACCCAATTGATGGCAAAAAGATCTATTAAAATAGGTTTAGTATTAACAACATTATCAGTGAATATAAGTCACGAATTAAAAACCTTCTATTTTTAAAAATTAAAAAAAAATAAAGGAACAAAAAAATTATCTAACTAATTATTTAATTACAGCATGCCTGCTACTAATACTGAATTCTCTCGCCCTGGGTTTACGCCGAGGTCCGCATCACCCCCACGGTCAGACCCCGGTTGATCATAAACACCACCATTACAAGCCAACGGGATCAGAGTCGCTCACAGCCGACTCACAATTGTTACATGACGTCAAGTGAGTGTTATTTTTTTATATATTATCTCTAACTTTATACTTAAATAATAAAGAGAGTCTATGCGGATACGTACGGAACCCTAAAAATGGACTTATAGTTGTCTGAAATAAAAAAAAATTAATAAATATTCCAAAATGATTTAGTTGATCATAGACTTTTTTATGATATTTAGACTATACATAAGTAATGGGAATCCGTATCACAGATGATTCATAATTGTTTCATGCGTTCCAGGGAGCGTATTTTGAGTTATCTGTGAGTCACTCACAGGTGACTTACAAACGTTGCATTGTCTGCGGTAAAATTCATATTTGTGATGACACAACTATTTAATTTTGACATGCATGCGATTAATATTGAATTCTCTCGTCTTCTGTATTTAGTCGTTTTGGCGTGAATTTACTGGGTACAGAGGAATAACACCTGAGTCCTCAGGAATGGCAACGCGTGGGGGGTATCATGGGCGAAACACTATACTCTGTTATGTCCATGGTACTGCTCATGTTTATAGGCGACGGTTACCACTTTCCATTAGATGGGCCGTCAGCTTGTTTGCCATTCTAAGTAGTATAAAAAAAAAATTTGTCAGACCTGTTTTATACCACTGAGGTGGCAAACAAGCATACGACCCACCTGATGGTAATTGGTTATCGTAGCCTAAGAACGCCTGCAATACCAGGGGTATTACGCGCGCGATGCCGTCCCGGAAGTAACCTCTTTACTCCCCTTTTAAAGAACCCCATACTGTAGTCTCTTAAAAACCTCGGCCTCATCTTAATATCCTTCCCCATATTCATAAAAACTAAAACCTTCTACAAATTTAACTAACAGAATAGACTAATTTCTATTTTCTCACTTTCTTTCAAATTGGGAATTTACTGTAAAAGAAAGAGACAAAAAAGTTTAATAGATTAAATAGGTTTTTTGAGAGGTTTGATGTTTTTATGAATGAGGGGGTAGGCGATGAACGGTCAACAGGTTACGGTATGAGTATCTAAGAGATTTTAGTAGGCATAAATAAATATCGTTTACAGACATATCGAGGAAGATTCTTCTAACATTTTAACTCCAGAAGCACTGGCCAGAATGACTCCAGAAGAATTGGAGTTTCACTATTTCTCAGCTCACGATTTTGACAGAAATTCCAAATTAGACGGCCTGGAACTTTTAAAGGTTTGTTACGCTTGTGTGTATTTGATTCTTTTTTATGAATATTCCTTGATGGTTGAATTTATTTTATAGCGATACCAGAGAATGTTTTATTTTTCGGTATCGAATTAGGCGCCGAATTCTTATAATAACCGTATTAGATAAAAAAAAAACAGACAATTAGATGATATAAGAATTTCGACTTTATGGAGTAGAAAATTAAATTTATATTTCTATTATTCATAGGCTGTATACCACACTATTGAACATGAAACGCCCGACGCTGATGCAGATTCCTCTATCGAACCCGAAGCAAATGATCTTGACGCTTATATTGGTAAGTGTGGCGAATGTTATATATACATATTTATGTAGGTACATACAATAATAGATTTGTTGTATAAAAAAATATCGGCTTTAATCGTGGCAAATATAGTAATTTCGATTTAAGAACCAAACTTCTGATTCGATTTTTATAAAAATTCTATGGGGCCAATCTGAAAATCAGAAATATCCTTTCAGATAAAAAAAATAATTCAAATATTCCGTTTATAAATGGCGGAGTTGTGAGGTAATGAATATAAAAATACAACTGAATTGAGAACCTCCTTTTTTGCAGTCGGTATACAACCGACTGCAAATATCTGCATCGGGTGTGCAAAATTACCTTTAATTACAAAATAATCAATAAAAACTACAAATCTCGATTCTAACGCCATCTAGTATGTCGTGTCTATTTTTGTTTAGGGGCCAATTACCTTAAAAGGATACTCTTAAAGTAAGCTTTTATATTCTTTATACACATTGAATAAATTTCAAATTTGCAATTACCTTACGTTTTCGTGAATACGAGACACAATAGTTCTTAAAATTAACGCAGTAATCAGAGGCATACAAAACATTGTTCTACATTGAAGTATTCTTATTTTAGAATTTGTTACGTAAATTTTTTACACAACTTGCCACTCATACCTCGGTACAAATAGGTATTATAGTTTTTAATGAATGGCAATGCATGGGAGGTATCATGGGCGAAAAAGTATATTCTGTTACTTCCATGGTGGGCCGTCAGTTTGTTTGTCAAGTTGCATAAAAAAATACCTGTATTTATTTATTTATATGATTTTTTGTATACATTATTTATACATTCATTTATAGTATAGATGTTAGGTTATAGTAAAAATGTACACAGGCGGACTTATTCCTTAAAGGGATTTCTTATAGTCAACCTTCAGAACTCGAAAGGAGAAAGTATCTGTAGGGTTTTTTTAATGGGTGATAATGGAATGGTATCCCCACCCGCGCTATTGGTATACACCGGCCGGGCACCAGTGAAGGACGATAGGTGAGGATGAAGCAGACCAGTTAGCCATCGTGACGAATTCAACAAGAATTGTTCACGATGGTTTCCAGGGCGAACCACGTGGAGGTCGACCTAATAGGGCATATTGATAGCAATGGGACCGTCAAACTCCATTGCTAACAATCCCTTTCCCCCCATATCTGTAGGGTTTGTATATAAAGCATTACATATATGGTCCAAAAATAATCTGATAAATAATAAATTATATTATTTGTAGCTATATAATTAGTAACAGAGTATAGATGTACATAAATGTTGATTTCCAGCTCTGGTAGACCGTACATTAGAGTCGGATGACACCGACGGAGATGGTTTCGTCTCGTACGCGGAGTACCGCGCAGCGAGAGTCAACAACCCGTCTGAAAGGACTCCCAGGGTATTAGCTGCTAACTCGCCCCCTTAAGCTTCGTCATCATCATTTCAATCATTACTTGTTAACTGCTGAACACAGGTATCCCTCATAGACTGCTACAAGGAATGGCCTTTTATTTTGATCCATTGATTCCTTCCATTTAAGATTATCACTCTATTTAACGTTAAATATTAATATTTTTTTTTTATAAAATATAGATGTCTTTTCATTGTCCTACTGGTACATATAGAATTAAATTAATTATCTGTGGTTGTTCTAAGAATGGTTTTTCTAACAATTTACCATTATATGGATATATTTTTTAGATCATAAGTTATGAAAATTATGCAAAAACAAAAAAAGTAGGAAATATAATTTATGATATAGTTTAAACGAGTAAGCAGCAATTCAGATGACTGTTTACTTGGAAAGCGCCATCTAGTGAAAAAACTATTTAGTTAAATGAATAACATTACTTTGTTTACTTACGTTGGAAGAGATTTTGACGATAATAATTCCCCTAATTTTTTTTTATTGAAAATATATATTTAACTAAGTCGAGTCACATATGTTCTAAGACAGAGAATATCATAGGTGGTATTTACATTGACAATAAAACAGTTTCAATACTTTTTTATTACCAAATAAACTTTCAGTGATGTTGTTATAAAATTAATTTAAAATAAAGATGTAAATAAATTCAAAATTAATGTATTATATATACTTACATAAACAACCATTTCTTATTAATAATAATTAGGAATTATATAATAATTGTACATTGTATAATATTAAAAATATTATATTTTGAAATTATGCAATTACTCCAGATGTTGCCATACTTACGGAATGAGATTTTAGTTTTAAATTGATGTACAAATTTGAATCTCTTATTCGAATTAATTTTATATTTATTCTTTAATAAAAAGGTTTTATTTGAAAAAGGCCTAAATTGTAAACATAGTGTATCTACGAATATATGGTTAAACTATAAAATTGTTTATGGTTCAATAATTTTAATATAATTTTTTTTGTAATAATACATTACGTATTATTATATCGTGGCTGATTGTGACTGAAATTTATGTAAAAAAAAACTATTGATATAATTAGAGGTTTATTATTTCCTCTGAAAAAAATAATGTACATGCAGGTAATTTAATATACTACAACAATAATATTAGTACATTATAACCTATTATTATAAATCTTCATTTTATATGATATTTTTTTAATAAAACCACAATGAAGTATTATTTATGATAATTATTTATTAAATTGTGACTGGCCATAACGAATAAATTTTTATTATAATTTTTTTTTTCAATTTATTTTACTAAGATTGTCAATTGACTGTGAGAAGTAAGTATTGTATATTTCAATATCACTGTATAAAAGGAATATAAAGCTTTATAATGTAAATTCTTAAAATACTAGGTAAAGTTTACTCTATTATACTATGTACATTAAAACTTAAGGATGCACATTCTCAGTTCGATTGTGACAAAATAACACTTAGTTCAGTTAAATAAATCTATACAGCTTTTTTTTTAATTGGCCGAATGGAGTAGGCACTTGTAGTAATTTCAATTCATAGCATGCACAAGTATATCTTGCTGGTAATGGATTAAAGTAAAATTAAATATTTTACTTATTCCTTACAGATTAGATTATTAGAGAGCGAGTAATATATTTGCAAAAGTTTCTCGTAATTGTTGTTACTCTGTACGAATTGAAAACGATATTGTTAGCTTCATTTTAACGGAATGTTCTCTAGTGTAACACAATATTTTTTGCATGGAAAGGTGTAAATTTTTAATTTTTCAATTCGTGCACTTGTATTTTTGTTGATTCTATTCTATAATTTAGATCTATGGTCAGATTCTGTGTATTATTCGGCACAATGATACCGCGTAGAGCACGGCATGCCCCTCTCCCCCCACTCTGTTGCTTCCTTGACGCCTTTCGAGATATCTTCATATTGTTCTAATTCGATACTGTTACTGAAAGAAAATAATATATAGTATTGAAAGTTTAGTGAATAGATTTGATGAGTTTTATGCCATCGTCATCATATCAGCCGTTAGCTGTCCACTGCTGAACATAGGCCTCCTTCTATTAGGGGCTTTTGTCAGTAGTTGCCACGCTTGGCAAGCTGGTGGGCAATTGCAGTTTGGCTTTTAGTGATGTTTTAAGAGTGACGCTGCTGCCCATCCCTCGACCATTAAGTTCCCTTAGTCGCTTCTTACGAAACCCATGGGAAAGGGGTGGTCTATTTTATGGCCGGAACCTACACGACTAAAATATTATAAAATAAATAGTAATTATTATAATTTAATATATCATTAAGCCATAAATAAATAAATATTTACTAAAAATATATATCAACTAGAATTTATGAAACAAGTTCTGTTTGGTGTATGATACGTTCAAAGCTATTTGTATTTAGGTATACATATACATACCCCTGCAGCATCTTGGCTCCTTGCAATAACAAGTCTGCCCCAGAAGAGTACATGGACGCTTGTTGAGGCCTTTCGCAAGATAACTTGTATAGACAATTGAAGTCTTTATTTTGCTGTCCTGTTAGGTAGCTCAGGTATAATAGAATTTCATCTTCAGTAATGTATGTCGCGTTTTTGTTGTCTGAAAGGGCAGTAGTTTTATTAAAAAATTTGAAGTTTGACGCGGTGCGATTCGAATCTTAGTTGTTTGATATTAGCGGTTATTTATTAAGAAATTGGTTTGTATCATAAAATGTAAATATTACTAAATACATTCTTTAGTTATTCTTTATGGTATAAATCGATATATATACCTAAATTTATCATCTGTTGTCAAAAACTTCAATGTCTTAATTTTGTTAACATTAGCATTTACAACAAAGGAAAACATTGCATAGAGCCTAAACAATGAAGCAAAGATAAAGCGATAATTTTAGTTAATTGTTTATTTTTAAAGTTAGAACTATTTATAGACATTTAAAATAAAAAAAATAAATATAAATAAAAAAAAATTGAATTTTGCGCGGGAGATTAAGCGGGCAATGACCATTCTTTATTTAAAATAATGTTAACGTTAGTGTTGACCACTATATAAATTTTGATCGTACCATCTGCCAAGTATTATATTATTATTACCCTTTACTGCCAACTATAAGCACCTTTAAATCACTCGTCTACGTGTCAACTGACCATCCATTAATCCAATACACGTCGATGGGTTTGCCTTGTCTGGTCGTAATCCCATTCTGCAGGGATTATCTTTTATAGAGCCACCCGCCTAATGGTCAGTTGATTCTATTTGAAACTTTCTGAATATTAAACGAATTAAAGAATACGGATATTATTGTTTACGTGTTTGGTACCTATATTTTTTAATCAGGTTTCTAGAGGGATTACTGCACTATTTTAAGGAAATTATAAGATGGAAAAGTAATAAATATAATCGAGTACGGATTGTATTTTACCCAAGTATAGGATTTTTTTCAATATATACTACAATATTTATGAATTTATCCAATTTGTCACGTATGATTCCGTGGCAAAATATTGTATGCATATTTAATAAGTAATCTTTTTTAAGGTATTAATAATTTTTTTAAGGATAACAATTAACAATCTCAACCTAATTGGCGCATACTTTAAACAATTGGTAACATAGTTATAAAATCATTGCATCTTATGTTTTAAAATATATTTATAATGATTACGAATTTACGGACAAATATTCTTTTAAAAGGTTAAAATGAGGATCATATTAAAATGAGGATTATATTAAAATGAGGATATTATGGTGGAGTTTTGTACTTTTTTTATACCACAAGGGTGGCAAACAGACATGTCCGTCCAACCCGTCTGATGGTAAACGGTCATTTTATATAGACATCTGCAAACATTAGGGGTGTCACGTGCGCATCGCTGACCCTGAAGAAACCTTAATATATCATTTTTAAAGGACTCCATACTGTAGTTTTTAGGGAAAACCTTGGCAGAGAGCTCTTTCCAAAGCCTAAACGTTCACGGAAGAAAATATCATTGGAACCGCACTGTATGTGACCATTTAGATTCAAGCGTGTGAAAATGAATTTCCTGTTGATGGCGAGCAGTGTAATGATAAAAGGTGGCTGTAGGCATCATTTCAAACAACTATTCAGAACACAAACCCTTATGCAAGCGGTAGAGCACATACAGGGAGGCAAAGTCTCGCCTGAAACTTAAGGGATTGATATTGCCTGTGAGTTTAGGAACGTCGATAATTTTCATATCCTCTTTAAACCGAGTTAAGAGGACCAAGCTGGTATCCAGGCCCTCCGGTCTACAGATGAGTGCAGTATTTCATTAGGGGTCATACTTGCGTAATTCTCCTGTATTTATAAGTTTCCACCCTATTTATATATTACCCGTTTTTGTCACGAAGTGGCAATGTATACATATATATAGCGGCAGGCTTACCTTCAAGACTTCTTCCATAGTGATGGCCTCCCTTCCATGCGCCAGCGCCGAAGAATCCAGCCGCCAGTATGAGTGCTTTAAGCACTATAAGGATCACCAAGTTGGTAAGGTTCAAACTTAACACCTGTAATATTTTTTATAATGTACAATTTATATTGAAAATGCTACTAGTAAATCTGAAAGTCTGAATAAATATTCAAAAAATTTGGATATCTTTTTATCTTTGAGCAGACAATATTATCATTTTAAAATACAGTAAGACAGTAAAGATATTTGGATGTTTGTTACTTAGTTACTGGAAATGTTTCGTACACTGTTAGGTTATATACAGGACTACCACTGGATAATGGGGGGAAGGGATTGTTAGTAACGGGGAGGTTAATCCACATTGTTATCAATATACCCTATCATGTCGATCTTCACGCGGTTCCCCCTGGAAACCATCGTGATTGATGTATCGTTGAATTCGTAACGATGAGCTAACTGACCGGCCTTTTCATCCTTACCTATCATCCCTCACTGATTTTCACGATTAAGGAACACTACAATAAGCAAAATGATAAAGTGTACGCTCACAGTTCAAAAGAAGCTGCTCAAGTGGTCAAAAAGGTACAACGTGGTCATCATCCTGCGTCAGTGATGGTTTGATGGAGCTTGTCTTATCAAGGAGTCACAAAACTGCATTTTTGTGAAAAAAAAGTAAAACTTCACCCAAAGCGTATCAAGACATAGTTTTGAATCGTGTTGTAAAACCTCTCAGCAATACAGTTTTTAAAAATATACCGTGGACTTTCCAGCAGGACTGCACCTGGTAGGCACGAACTACTCAAGTCTGGCTTAAATTAAAGTTCCGGACTTTATAGGAGCTGAATACTAACCCTCATCTAGCCTAGACCTCAGCCCTTTAGACTACAAATTATGGTCAGTTTTAGAGGACATGACATGCTCTAAACGACACGGCGACATTGAGTCTCTTAAAAAAATCTTTGGAGCAAGAAGTGGCGAAATTTCCCTGGGAAACAGTGCGTAAATCCATAGATTCGTGGCCAGACAGATTAAAGGCCTGTATAAAAGCCAAAGATGGCCATTTCGAATAGAACATTTTTTTATTATTTGCTGAGACTTTAATAAATATGTAGGTATAAATTTTAGTAATATTACATTATTTCGTAAAAAAAATGCATTTTCATTTGTAACAGAACTTATGGCTGGACTATGTATATACAAACATGTAAATATCCAAACACCTTTACAAATGTTCATATTTATAACATTAGTAGGATATTACTCTCAGATCAACACAATAATAAAAAAAAGATGCGTCATATTTCCACAATGTTATGACTCAATCGGTACCCTTATCTGCAACATTCCTCTAGCATTTCATGCAATAGCGTGCAACTTTACAATAGGTGCGATACGAACCTGCGATACGCAGTCAAAACCAACCTGGCTGCTGCCTGTCGACCTCGCGATGAAGTCCCTCGCCAGACTGGCCATCATTTGACCACCACTACCGCCCAGGAAGTTCCCCGCTGTGTCCAGGAATGAGGATCTACCATACGTATCATTTCCGTTGTCGTATCTCGCCACATCTTGGTCACTTTTAAAGGGCACCGGTGGGTTTTCGCTCGGCAATAACGCGTTGGTATCATACGATTGTTTCGGGTACATCTTCTTCGCGTATTGTGGCGAGGAATACGCACCGCTGTGCTCTGCGGCGACTACCAGGAAGCATATAAACAGTATGTAAATCCCAACCATTCTGCGCGGAGTCCTGGCCACTACTGTGAGGAAGCAGGTAGTGCGCGCGATATGTTTGAGACACTTGTAGTCCGTATTTTTATCTCTTCCCGGCTTCTTTTGTTTGTTACACGCACTGTGACATCACTAATGGCGCTATTGTTGTTGCTTTTTAGTGGCAACGCCGTGTACTTATTTGTGAAATAACAAAATCACTGCACAAATTGTAATTGGAGTAGCGTAAATGTTTTATTGAAATGTTAATATTTTTTCAAAGACTGTGAAAGAAGAACAATTTAACCACGAATGAAATTTTATTTTATGTTTATTTAATCTTATTAAATTTTAAAATTCAATAAGAGACTATTCTCAGCATAAATTTAGGTTTATCTTTTATTTTTCTTAATTATAGTTATGTCTTAATAAAAGCTCTAAACCTGCATGCTACAATGAATACGTTTTATTCAAGAATAGTAATCTAAATAGGACAATTATTTTTAAAGCACAAAAATTATATTTATATTTATGTAGTTGCATTCTTTAATAGTTGAGAGATAGGCAGCAGCGTCTCTTTTTAAACATCACTAAAACCTAACTGCGATTGCTAAATCGCTTGCTAAGCGTGGTAACTATTGGCAAAACCTTCCAAGGAAAAAGTCTTTGTTCTACAGTGGTTAAAGTTAACGACTGATATGATGATAGCAATGATTTTTTTACAAATTTATTGTTATATTTTAAGCTTATGTAAATGTTTGATTTTCATTCAGCACAAAAACAATCTGAATAGAATATTTGTTTTTAGGAGATATTACATACGTTTTTATAAGAGTTGGAAAATTCTGAATACATGTAAATAAATATCATTATTAATACTTTCCTTTAGGTGGATCATCAGCTTTTTTGCTTTTCTAAATTGCAAAAAAATGTAACATTTTAAGTGTGACTATTTTAAGCATAACACGTTTTCTTTTAATGGGTGATAATGGAATAGTTACCCCGTCTGTGCTATCGGTATACACTAGTGAGATAGCAGTTATGGATAATAAATGAGGATGAAGTAGGTCAGTTTGTCCATCGTGACGAATTCAACTAGAATTGTTCACGATGGTTTCCAGGGGGAACCACGCGGAGGTCGACCTAATAGGGCATATTGCTAGCAATGTCAAACTCCATTACTAACAATCCCTTTTCCCCCTAGCAAAACTCGTTATGATATTCTTCTTTACCGTCCTCTCCTTCTGTTACGTCATTACACGCTTGGTATTCTACATGTTTTCCTTCAATCTACCCGTTTGTAGCTGCATAATAAATATAACGATGAAACCGAGAGCGGCGACGGTCACAATGGCACGGTGGCGACAATGGCAAACGTAGCGGAACATTGTTTGCCACGACATCTCAATCTTGTTCCGTAATACACACATTTGGGACAGCCGCGTTTGATAACTGTGACATAATCGAAGATGTCACCGATACACAACTGACACAGTTTCCCACTTGTTTACCTTGGTTCAGAGCATTTTTTGAGCGACTTCCGAAAAGAGAAGATCGTTCAAAAATATTTTACTCAACTAGATGTTATCTTGCGGAAGTCCATATCATTGGTTATTTGAATTGAGTTATTTTGTTTAATTCCGCTACTACGCATCTTTGGTAAAATCACAGTCGGCGATTGATGGCTAATATGGAAGGTTGTCTTATGAGGCGATTAATGGAAGGCGAGGGATAGGCAGTAACATTCCTCTTAAACCATCTCCAAAGCTTAACTGCGGTTGCCAACCCACCTGCCAAGTGTGGCAACTACAGGCAGAATTCCCGCTTACTGGGGAGGCTTATGTTCACCAGTGAACAGTTAAAGGCTGATATGATATGATGATGGAAGGTGGTGTAACTTGTGGTAGTAATAGTGATGGTCAATCTTCGAGTGTTGGCAGTCACACACACACTGATGGTAGCGGAATTAAACAAAGTAATTCTATTCAAATTACCAGCGCTCGAAATTAGTTAATTTTAAAGTTTCGCGTTGTTGTTACATATTTTAAAAATACTATCTGTAACGCGTCGCGATTGCAAGTAAAAAGTACCTACATACTTGTCAACATGCTTAAGTCACGTCACGTTATATCCCGGTAGTGTGTTTAAAATATCGCTCAAAATTATCTTTTTTTTTTATTTTTATACAATAATTTAATAATACTGACGGCCCACCTGATGGAAAGTGGTCACCGTCGCCTGTAAACATGAGCAGTACCATGGAAATAACAGAGTATACTGTTTCGCCCATGATAACCCCCATGCGTTGCCATTCCTGAGGACTCAGATGTTATTCCTCTGTACCCTGTAAATTCACGCCATATCCCACTCTTCAAACCGAAACACAGCAATGCAAACACAACTGCTTCACGGTAGAAACACGAATGGGACAGAGGTACCTAAGCAATCGACTTTTGTACAAAGTCTCCCTCTGAAATAGGCATCACAGTGTATTCAGTGATGCTCATAACGCTGTTCATGTTTATAAGCGATATTTACTGCTTTCCAACAAGTGAACTGTAAGTTTTATTGACATTTTGAATATCGTAAAAAATGGTTTTTATATCGAGTAGGTAGTAAAGATTGCGTTCTAGAAAAAACCAACTTCAATTGTGACAAAATCAGTCATTTTGATTTAAAAACTAAACTACTAAACAGATTTTGATTAAATTTCTACGGGATCAATTTGCAAGTACATCTTTTCAGGCAAAAAAGAATTATCCAAATCGGTTTACAAGAAACGGAGTTATAAGGTAACAAACTATAAAAAATACAATCGAATCGAAAACCTCCTTTTTTTAAGTCGGTTGAAAGTAAATAACCTGTTACATTTGTTTATTACGTTCCATGGATACCATTATCATCAATTTAACATAAATAATGTGATTTTATTACTGCATTGTTCTTCATAATTCACTTGCTGTTTCTAAATTGGAAACGAACAGCCATAACTCTAACGACCGAGAAAATTGGCAGACGTTGTAGATAAATTTCTTTTTTCCTTTCTCCAATACAAATAGACCATCTTTTTTTATTTATTAAAAGGTATACACAACAGGTTACAAACAATAACATTATAAACATTTTTGTATAGATAATAGTATGAACTAGATTGAAACCCAGACAGGTGTACATTCTTCTTCTCTCAACATTCTCGTCATATCAGCTGTTATCTGTCCACTGCTGAACATAAGCCTCCCCATAGACTGCCATAAAGAACGGTCTTGAATCACCTGTGTCCACTGACTCCCTGCCCTGCATTTTACGATCGTCACTCTATGATAAGAACTAGATGTGTCTTCCTAGACTGCGTTTGCCCGTACGAGGTCGCCGCTCAAAGACATTTCTTCCCCATCGGTTATAGTTTCTTCGGGCTATGAGACCAGCCTATTAATACTTCAGTTAGGTGATTTTGGTTCTTTTGCAGATGTCCTTATTGCGGATTCTGTCATGCAAAGAACATATATAGTAAACACTTTGAAATAATATGAAAATAAAACATAAATTTGTCCATCTCTCTTTTTGCTAACTACAAATCAAAAATTATAGTTTTTGTGTATTTGTGTGTATTGTGTATCCATAAGAACTTATTGAACTTAGGAGGTTTTATATTTAATTGATCATATACTCATATTTAATAGATCTGTAATATTACAGAAACTCACGAATACTATAATTGATTCGACCATAAGAGAATTTGCTGATGTCCAATAATTAATTAACGTCGGTTGTTAATACGCCTGTCGAGCGTGATCATTACTATCGTGTATAAGTATATGTAGCATTTTGAGTTTGCTGTCTCCATTATTTTTTAAATTAGATAAAAATAAAGGATGGAGAAAAACAAATTTCTTTATAATACTATTTTTATTAGGTATGCCATCTAGCGTAAAGCTCCTGTGGAAATATACTACAAATTATTCAATTAGTAACATTAAGTATTACTAGATGGCAGTATATTAGTTGGAATATGTTTCTAAAGTTGGTTTGTTTGTTAAAGATTGCACAGATGGCGCTAATTTTTCTTTTTGAAAGTCCCTTTTAGTGGACTAGATGTCGCTTCTGCTAACATCAAACGATTTTCTGTTATTATAAATTGAGGCAAGGCGTGGAAAGTGCAATTTTTTCTAGAGTTTTATCAGTAACATTGCATATTATTAATATTATCCGTGCAGTGTAAGGAATATTGCGATACTAGTGATTTTTATTTATAGGGTCTTCTAGTAAGATTCTAGAAATTAAAAAAAGTTAAACCTGGTAAACACTGAAGTTATTTCCTAATGGATTTGCCATTTGGTAAGTCGACTCGTCTTCATACGACCTATCATTCCTAATTGGTAACTTAATAATGTATACCATTACTCCATTATTTCCTTTTTTTCAAAAAGCCGTTCCTAAATTATGCGTTTATTTTTTTTTTACCAAGCTTTATTTACTAACGAACATTTTACTTTTTTAGGTACTAGCTTTTTGCCATATTTCGTACGCGAAGATTTCAGAAGTAGGAATAATAACAATAATAGAAATAGATCGATATAAAACATACATAAGATTTTAAGTTAAAAACTTTGAAGTTCTAATTTAAAATTTGGTGTTCTAACTAATTTCACAATTGTATTCTTGAGAATACAATTGTGAAAATCACATCCTATTTGGTGCAGTAATTTTAGTGTAACACCAGAACAAACCTATAGACAGACAGACAATATTTCCTCCACGTTGCCCCCCTGGAAACCATCGTGCTGAATTCCTGATATACATCACAGTGGACTAACTGACCTACCTTTTCATATCACCTATCATCCATTAGCGAGGTTACCATTCCATTGTCATACCTTAAAAAAAGTTTATCTACCTCAACAATATTTTAACATGGCTGTTTTTTTTTATTATAAACACAATAGTAAATTAGTATCGTAAGAATAAACTTTAAATACAAATAAATACAAATTTTAAATATTTTTTTTCATTTGTTGTTTGTGTTGCCACAGTTAAATTGTATTTCATACGTTAAATCATTTGTTTGTACGTCCTTCAACCTGGCTATTCCATTAAATTTAGCTTTTCTATGATGCACATAAAAATAGGTTGGTTAGTCGGTAAACGGTTAAATTACCAGTTAATTGTTAAAATGATTATAGACTAGCGATCTGATCCGGCTTCCCACGGGTATACAGAATTTTCCAAATTTAA